AGGTGGGGTCGATGACCTTGTACCAGGGGGGCATCAGCCCCTCGAGCCGCGAGGCCTCGTAGTCCACGTGGGCGTCGTCGTAGTCCTCGGCGATGATCTCCTCCTCGGGCTCTGGGCGGGGCCGTCAGCCTGGCCACGCCCCCTGCCCCGACCCCGCCCACCTCACCATAACCCCATCCATTTCTTCCTAACCCCGCCCATTTCTAACTAACCCCTCCCATTTATGCATAACCCCGCCCACTTCCGCATAACTCCGCCCATTGTCCCAACCCCGCCCACAACCCCAACCCTGCCCCCTGCTCCTAACCCCGCCCACTCCCACATAACCCCGCCCATTTCTCTGTAACCCCGCCCACTTCCACCTAACCCCGCCCACTTCTCTGTAACCACGCCCACTTCCGCCTAACCCCGCCCACTTCCGCCTAAACCCGCCCACTTCCACTTAACCCCGCCCATTTCTCCCGGCCCCGCCCATTTCTCCCGGCCCCGCCCACTTCCCCGCCCCCGCCCATTTCTCCCGGCCCCGCCCATTTTCCCGGCCCCGCCCCTCACCGGGCTCCAGGTGTTTGAGCAGCCCCCGCTTGGCCAGGCGGGACTGGAGCGTCACCGGCAGCGGCATCGGCACCGGCGGGCACCGGGACAGCACCGGGACACCGGGACGGCACCGGGAACAGCCGGGAACAGCCGGGACACCCAAACAGCAGCCGGGATCCTGGCTGTGGACACAAACAGGAACAGGGTCAGCACCGGGACACACTGGGGGATCACCGGGACACACCGGGGATAACCGGGACACACCGGGGATCACCGGGAGACACCGGGGATCACCGGGACACACCGGGGACACACCAGGGATAACCGGGATACACCGAGGATAACCGGGACACACCGGGGATAACCGGGACACACCGGGGATAACCGGGGACACACCAGGGATAACCGGGATACACCGAGGATAACCGGGACACACGGGGGATCACTGGGACACACCGGGACACACCGGGGATCACCGGGACACACCGGGGATCACCGGGAGACACCAGGGATAACCGGGACACACCAGGGATCACCGGGACACACCGGGGATAACCGGGACACACGGGGAATAACCAGGACACACCAGGGATAACTGCGGATAACCAGGACACACCGGGGATCACCGGGACACACCGGGGATAACCGGGACACACCGGGGACACACCAGGGATAACCGGGGATAACCGGGACACACCGGGGATAACCGGGGATAACCGGGACACACCGGGGATCACCGGGACACACGGGGGATAACCGGGACACACTGGGGATCACTGGGACACACCGGGGATAACCGGGACACACCGGGGATCACCAGGAGACACTGGGGACACACCAGGGATAACCGGGACACATGGGGGATAACCGGGGATAACCAGGACACACCGGGGATCACCGGGACACACCGGGGATAACAACCGGGGACCGCAGCAGGGAACCAGTAACACCAGTACAGCCACAGTTCCCCCAGTTCAATCCCAGTTCAGTCCCAGTTCGCTCCCAGTTACCAAAGTTTGTTCCCAGTTCAATCCCAGTTATCCCAGTTCAGCCCAGTTTTCCTCCCAGTTACCCCAGTTCAGTCCCAGTTAGCCCAGTTCAATCCCAGTTTCTCTCCCAGTTCCCCCACTTCGCTCCCAGTTTGGTCCCAGTTCACTCCCACTTACCCCAGTTCACTCCCAGTTTGCTCCCAGTTCCCCCAGTTCAATCCCAGTCTCTCCTAGTTCACTCCCAGTTACCCCAGTTCACTCCCAGTTACCCCAGTTTGGTCCCAGTTTGCTCCCAGTTACTCCAGTTCAGTCCCAGTTTGCTCCCAGTTCACTCCCAGTTCGCTCCCAGTCTCTCCCAGTTTGTCCCAGTTCACTCCGAGTTGCCCCAGTTCAGTCCCAGTTCCCCCAATTCAGTCCCAGTTCAATCACAGTCTGCTCCCAGTTCCCCCAGTTCACCCCTAGTTCAGTCCCAGTTCTCTCCCACTTACCCCAGTTTGGTCCCAGTTCTCTCCCAGTTTGTCCCAGTCTCTCCCAGTTACCCCAGTTCAGTCTCAGTTTGCTCCCAGTTATCCCAGTTTGTCCCAGTCTCTCCCAGTTACCCCAGTTCGCTCCCAGTTCCCCCAGTTCAATCCCAGTCTCTCCTAGTTCACTCCCAGTTACCCCAGTTTGGTCCCAGTTCTCTCCCAGTTACCCCAGTTTGGTCCCAGTTCTCTCCCAGTTAACCCAGTTTGGTCCCAGTTACCCCAGTTTGGTCCCAGTTCTCTCCCAGTCTCTCTCAGTTACCCCAGTTTGGTCCCAGTTCGCTCCCAGTCTCTCCCAGTTCTCTCCCAGTCTCTCCCAGTTACCCCAGTTTGGTCCCAGTTCTCTCCCAGTTCGCTCCCAGTTCTCTCCCAGTCTGTCCCAGTTACCCCAATTCTCTCCCAGTTCTCTCCCAGTTACCCCAGTTCTCTCCCAGTTCGCTCCCAGTTCTCTCCCAGTCTGTCCCAGTTACCCCAATTCTCTCCCAGTTCTCTCCCAGTTTGTCCCAGTCTCTCCCAGTTACCCCAGTTCGGTCTCAGTTTGGTCCCAGTTCTCTCCCAGTTCTCTCACAGTCTCTCCCAGTTACCCCAGTTTGGTCCCAGTTACCCCAGTTTGGTCCCAGTTCTCTCCCAGTTCTCTCCCAGTTTGTCCCAGTTCGGTTCCGTTTCTCTCCCGGAAGTCGCCGCCGGCCGCGCGCCGCTCACGTGACCCCCCGCCCCTTTAGCCCCGCCCCCGTTGCCGCGGCAACCGCGCCGTCTTTCCGGCCCACCACGTGATCCGCGCCCCGACCAATCGGCGGCCGGCGCGGGGCAGCGCTCGGCCAATCAGAGCGCGGGGAGGCGGCGCGCGCGCGGCTGTGTGCTGGCCTGGGCGCCGCCATGTTGGGGGGGGCACCAAGAGCAC